CTGCCGTCATCACTGGCTCAGTAGCTAAGGTCTTGCTTGAGATAAACTCTAGGTTAATGCCACATATTTATAGTAACATATATCCAATCTCTTGGCTTCATATAGGGTTTAAAGATGCATGTATGAGAAAGCTTACTTAGGCTGTGGATAGTCAAAAATATGATTTCAAAAACTTGTGTTCACCTTTCTTGCCATCAATAGAGTTTGAGTCATAGTAAAAGGCACAATTTCAATGCATAAAAATAACACCATGGTTTTTCACAATACCTTTTTAGCAAATCTGAATGACATGCAACACAAAATACCTTATTTGGAAAAATAATTAAGCTCCTAATCAAGCAGTCAGAGACAAGTTATAAAGTTAACAATTATTGATGATTGAATGACAAACAAGAAAATTCACACTTGCCTTTCACCAGTCTGCCATATATTAACCCATTGAATGAGAAAGAGAGAAATGTGCTATAAATTGTGAGTAGCTGACCACCTTGCAGATGTTTGGTAATTTGCCTGATATTTCTGGGTCAGTAATATATTTTCTATCAATAAATAGATAATGTGTTTCTTATTTTTCTATTATTTTAGTTATCTATAATGTTACCTATATGAAAAAGGTCACTTTGAACTTGCTCTGAAACTTTATGGCTATTACATAAATTATTCCATACTCACCAAATGTTATATTTTATTTTCAAGTCATCAAGACTAACAGTGTTAAATAATATCTTGGTAGTTTGCATAGATTTTAGGAGTTAAAGAGAAAAAAAACTTGACTCTTACCATTGTGGGCAGCAGTTGTTTCTTGATTATCTTTGGACCGGCTTTACATTTTCCTATTAATAAATTCTCAACATGACTTCGTAATACACAGTGTAATGTAATGTGGTTTGTGGTGCTTGTGTGGTCTCTGGTGCATATGTGGTCTCTTCGTTTCGTTTATAAGTGGTCTATGGTGTCTGTGTGGTCTATAGTTCATGTGGTCTGTGGTGTAAGTATGGTCTGTGGTTAATGTGGTCTGTGGTGTGTGTATGTGTGTTTTTTTTTATATCTTGTCTTTGGTGCATGTGTGGTCTCTAGTTTATGTGTGTTGCCTTTGTTGTCTATAATTCATATGTGCTAGGTGATGCTTCTGTGGTCTGTGGCAGAGGCGTCCAGGGGGGGGGGCATGTGTTGTCTCTGGTTTGTATGTGGTATTTGATGCATCAATGGTCTGGTTTAAATGTGGCATTTGTTGCATAAGTGGTGTCTGGTTTATATTTTACATATGGTATTTGGTCAATGTCTTTTTATCTAGTTTCTGAAAATTCATTTTAACATTATTAAAAAATATAGAAATATTTTCCATACCCAGGTCCATGTTCACCAGTACTTTCCAGAGTACATTTTTCAATGATAAATTGTTAACAGGTTAAAAAACTTGCTCTATATTTATATACAAACATATGTAGGAAAGCACAAGCATGAACATTCACATGTTGTATGATAATGCATGAACATAATCATCTATTAATCAAACATCATGATACTGCTATAAATCTGCATGAAATTCATCAATCTAAAATCCAAATGCATGTAAATAAACAGGTCTGTAGAAAAAACCTTTATCTTGTAATTCTTTGTAAGGTAGCATTTTTTTTCTGTAAATGCTCTATGCTATCACCCATACACCAAAAGCACAACATAAGAATATGAATATACAACAAAAGTTAGCTGAAATTTACTCCTTTGATTAGAAGTAAGGCTTGCTAATGTAAATCATATGTGTAAATTGTTATGATTGGAGAAAAAATATTTTATGAATATCAGATTATGTTTAAATAGACTATATAGTAAACAATCAACAGTGTACATTATATTATCTTACATTGCTATTAAAGCAATATTCAGTAATAATTCCAAGATAAATTATGAACCATAACTGAGTATGACTGCTGCCCATAGACATTATTTCACTAATAAAATAAAAGATAGGCCAACAAATTTCAATTTACACAAACCCAACCAAGTTTTCCAGTGATGAATAGTATGCAAAAAGGAGGTACAGTGTATTATTTTTCATTTAAAATATCCCAGCAAATAATCCAAATATCTGAAGGTAACTTTTACAAGCTAGACATAATTATGTCATGTTCAAGTTTTTACACTTTCTCTCCTTTCTAATTCAATGAACCAACAAAACAACAGTAAAAATACTGACATCACTTCATAGTCACCATGCTGTCATGAAAGATTTGTCATTTTGCTGGAGAATTTTACTCCCACAATACACTCAAAGTTCATACAAAAGGACCTCATTAAGAACATCCTAAGAAGTTGTAAGGCTCAGGCAGGTCAAAAAGGACAAAATGTAGTAAGTTATTAGTTAAAAGCTACAGAAAGAGATAAACTTTCAGATACAAAGTGAAAGTTTGGATTAAAGATAATCTGCTGGTATATGGCCAATGAGGGAAGTTTTTGTCTATAGTGCACGTTAAAACAGGAATGGAGATTAAGTACTGTAAAATCATAATATTTAGGCTGGACCTAGGATATTCTATGATTTTTTAAAATAAGAAAAGGTTTAATGGCACAAAGATACTTTAGATGATTACTATGGTCATTGTGAATTATTTGCCAATGTATGTTTTGAAGTTCAACTCAAAGAACAGGCAAAACTTGATATACTTCTTCTCAAGTGATAAAACACTGTCCTGTCAGGTAAATGGCCTACGGATTTTAAATATTTTCCTACATTTTGCAGGGGGTGATGATCCCCGGGCAAGACTGTAATGCATAAATAACAAACAAAAAAAAAGAGACAAAGTGTCTTGATGTACGCTTTGTTCTCTACCCATTCTGAACTTTCAGTAACTGTATCAGTTCTGTACCACAATAATCATATTCTAGCACCATACAATGACAAGATTAAGGCATATTGACCTTAAATCACTGTGACTATCTTAGGGATACAGTTACCAAAACTTTTTAGTACCAGAAAAGTCAAAATGGACAGAAAATACAGCTTGCCTCTGGCACAAACAATATATAACTTGAATCTAATATACATTCTGAAACAACATCTGAGTTAAAAGGTTTTGCATGTATGTGTGTCCCTTTGTAATCAATTTAATAAATCTGTTTTTCTGTTGCTGGAACTATATTATATTTATAGCAAATTATAAACTATCAATAAACTGATATTGTTTCTCTGCTTCTCAACTGTTGTTTTAGCTTATATATATATCTATTTCTCACAAGAAAAAAGGAGAAAGACAACCCAGAAAACTGAAGCCCTACTTACGATTGACCAACAACAACTCGTATGTAGAATTTATCACCTCAAGCTGACCACCTTACTCAAGAAAAATCTTAGGTCACTGAACACCATTATGGTCACCAGCTAGACATAACTCCTATCCCTACAATGTGATTGTCTGAACGAGATTTGAACTGTTCAGATGATAATATATGGTGATACATTACATCTGCCCGTCATCAAAATGGCCAAGATCTGAATGAAGATATTTAATTGTTTTATTAACCGTATGTGAAGCTTCAAGCTTTGGGGCTGAGTTGCATCACTCAGTTTCCATGTCTGTACAAAGCCACCAGGAGAAAACAATATTAGCTTGCTTATGTTTATACAGCCTTTGGACTTGATAAGAAATAATCACAACAAAATTGATAATATATTTTCAATAAAAAGGATACGTTATGGTAATGTAGATATGTAACAATGAGCTAGAAGAATGATTAAAATGTAGTAGGCAACTAAAAATAAATTAAAAAGTGAATCCAAATTCTGTATCCTCACACTGTAAAGAAATAGCAGTCACCTTTAAATGTTAGCTGCTAAGAATATTGCTGAAGGTATAAGGCCAAAGGACCCTGGTGGCTTCTTGATAGTTTTCTCAAATAATTTATTTGCTCTATAACTGTATATTTTCTGTACATATTCAATAAAGCTATCATTATTGGTTTATAGTATTTGTATGGCTAATCACAGCTCTGCCTTATATTACAACTATAAACTTTATAAACTTTCCATCCTATATACAGCCTTCACCATTTTTCCAGTTTTATTCTCTTTGTATTCAACTTCACTGATATATATTTATCTGACACACAATACAAGTCATAATGCAATACATAATATTAATGCAACTAACTGCTATTATGCATGACCCAATAGAGACAATGAAGAACTTCAACAAATTAATAACATGAATATGACCATGATGTGTTTATGAATCTTAGGATAAGCTGGGCAAAATCTGTACCCACTGCAAGCACTTGTTTTCTACAGTAACTGGAGTTTCTTGACTATTGCAACTTACCTAATCTCTGGGATGATATCACTCATATGTCATTACCACCAAATGTTCTAAAGCCAGTATACACTACTGAGTTTCATATAAAAAACATAGGTAACTTCAAATACATTCTAATATATATTTGGCAACACTTTTGATAATGTAACATCTGGCACATAGCAAAGTGCTCAAATACATCAACTGAGAACTTCATGAGCAGATTGTTTTTTTTTTTTCTTTTTTTTTGGCAATCACTAGCTTGGATGGCACACAATCCCTACTAGCACAGTTCCCACTAGGACTTGGGGCCAGAGGGTCTACTTTGGTTCCGTCCACGTATGTAACATTTCTGTCCAGCAGGAAATCCACGTGACCCAGAATGAGATGTGGAACGCTTTGAAACTCCCAGCTGTAACCCAATGGTTTCTGTGTACCTAGGCTGGCTACTCTCACTGTGGGGAGGGTGGGAGTTTTTCAGTCTGAGACTAGAGGCATGAGAAGAAGCCTGGACATACCCTGCAACTCTTAGTTCATCAAGGGAACTAAATGGATGCACATAATGTGGTAGTTCACCCATTGAAGAGGATTGTGGTGCTGGAAGTGGATCTGAAATTGCAGTTGGTGATAGTTGTGTGGAGAGAGAGGTACTCTGAGAATTTGATGATTGAATATTAAGGTTTTTATTAGATGAAACAGGAGGTGCATCACTTAGAGGAGAAGATAAATGGGAGAGGGAGAAGAATGTGGTGATATAGTTTTGGAAAGACCTCCAGCATCATCACCAGAGGAAGCATCAGGTGAAGGCAAGTCAGGTGGACAGCCCTCCAGTGTAAAAGAGTCTGTACTTGATGCCAATGTAGCATCATCATCATCATCATCAGCAAAAACTTTTGGTGGTGGTGGAAGTACTTGTGGAAAGGGACTCAGAACTTGTGTATTATCCAATGCTGTGGAAGGTCCAGATGTTGTAGTTGCCAATGGAGAAGGCCCTGATGACCGGTGGGAATTAGCTGATGCTTCTTCACTAGAGCACACTGAGCATGAAGTAGAATCCATATCTAAATGTCCTCCAAGTTCTGGCACATCAAAGCTGGCCATCAGTGACTGAGTGAGAGAGTCATCCAAGCTCACCTTGCGGCCACCCCCATTACTTACCCTTCGGCAGTTGTACCAACGAGACTGCCTCATAGCCTGCTGTGTTGAAGGACTCCCAGGTTCTGGAAGCTTTGGTGAATTAGGTCCCAGCCCAATACTCTCACTTCCACTAATTTCATCATCTCCTTCCCATGTTTCTGCTAAAGGTGCTGCAC